GGCCAGGTCAGCGCCAGGTTCCACCACCAGGGTGGCGCCAGAGAGCGAGGTGGTCAGATCTACAGTTCACAAACACAACTGGGCTGTGTCCTGGAGGGTGAACGACACCAGGGGGCCTGTTATGAAACGATCCTGGCGACCTGAACTGGGGCAGTGGCAGTGAGAATGGAGCAGCAAGGACAGAGTTGAGAGGGACTTGCAAGGACCAGAAGGCATAGTGACCAGTGACCAGGCATAGTGACCGCGGACACGGGGGGCAGAGGAACCCATCGAGGATGACTTCGCATTCTAACGTGAAGTAAGAAGCACAGGAAGAGAAGCATGTTTGGAGAGAAAGATAATGGGTTCTGTGCTATAAATATTACGTCTGCAGGAAGAATATCCAAGTGGGCAGTTTAGAATAGAATTCTGGGTAGACCCGTCCAGGGTGGTGGGGAGAAGGGACACTAGAGAAAAAGGAGGAAGCGACACTTTGGAAAACAAGCCTTGCACATGTGCACGGCCCAGCTGGTTCTATGAAACAGAACCAGACGGGACAGGTCCCCCTCCAGAACCACCTCCACACCAGTAAACTCCTTCACTCGCTGCACTTAATATGCCTGTGCATTCATCTGCACCTTTCCTCCCCTCCACTCAACACGTGCTGATTAAGTGAGCATCTACGATGTGCCGGCACTGTTCTTAGATTTTGGTCACACAGAAGTGCAAAAGTCCAAACCCTGCCATTGGGGAGTTTATGTTTTAGCGCAGGAGATAGTCGATAAGCAAGTAACTGAACAATCTAAAATAGAATTTTATGTAAACAGCATCAGGAAAAATAAAGCAGGTAGGAGGTGAGAAAGTTACCAAGGAGGGAGAGGAGGGGGAACTCTTAGAAATCAGGTGGTAGGGGAAGTCATCGCTGATGAAGTGACGTTTCAATCGGAGACCTAAGGTGGTGGAGAAAACGACATGAAAATCTGGAGGAAGCGTGTTTCAGACAGAGGGAAGAGCAAGGACAGCGACCCTGAGGTCCGTGCCTAGAACAGGCCAAATCTCACAGAGTATATTGTGACATTTCTGGCGCTTCTGTCTTGTGTTATTAACTATTTCTACTGCAAAGATTTTCATGGATTAATAGCCTATCGTCCCAACTCCATGTAAGCCTACTAAGGGCAAGGTCCATGTTCAAATTTCATACTCCCACGGTGCCTAGCACAATGCCTTGCACATAGTAGGTGTTCTTTCTCCATTCCTTTGTCTGTAATTATAGTTAGTGGTGATCTCTAGGCCTTTTTGTCCCCCTCTCCAACACTTCCGGGCTATTCCCAGAGGCTGTTAACCATCCAGCAAACCACTGGTGAGCAATGTCTAATACCGTTTAACCAGTAAGAAACTCAAGCCAGCCCTAACCAGTTTGGCTCAGTGGATAGAGCGTCGGCCTGCGGAACGAAAGGTCCCAGGTTCGATTCCAGTCAAGGGCATGTGCCTTATTTGCGGGCACATCCCCAGTGGGGAGTGTGCAGGAGGCAGCTGATTGATGTCTCTCTCTCATTGATGTTTCTAACTCTCTACCCCGCTCCCTTCCTCTCTGTAAAAAATCAATCAATAAAAAAAGAAAAGAAACTCAAGCCATGTCCAGAGCCACGTAGAAAGCCCAGACGCCAAGATGTACCCTTACCGATTAAAACCTGGTGGTTTCACGGGGGCTCTATGTTGAAGATTGGAGTGTGAGGAAGTCCTGCACATGCTCAGAGAAGCTGCTGGCTTTGCTGCAGCTCTGTGCTTACACATTACAATAATATTATTATTACCCCACCGGGGTGTCATGGGGATTAATGAGACATTTTCCAATCACTTTGAGCTACTCTGCTGGGGGCACTAAATAAGTGGCACGTGTTTCCCCTGAAGTGCCATGTCTGCCATTGATGTGTTGTGATGGGTTTTGCTGTCCAACAGGGCTGGGGTTCGCCCACCAACTCGTTTCCTATAAACAACAGACTAGCCGTCTGAAGGCGGTGGTTTTCCGTTAAAATAAATACGAAGTGAAGCAAACCACTCAGCGATCAGAAGCAAACAGGCTGCCGTTAGAAATCTAGTGTTTATGAAGCACTCGCAGTGGAACATAGAAGCCTCCCGGTGCGACACAGTACAGCGAACACTGGGCTCGGCAATGGGCCAAGATTCCAGGCCCCCGCCCTGCCAGGAACTCCCTGTGTGAGCTCGAGGAAATTGCTAAACCTCTCTGGTATAGAGGAAATTGCTAAACTTCTTGGGTATAAAGTAAGGGCTGTTCTATGAAGCTCAGAATCGGTCTTCCCGATCAGGCAACTACAGGAGAGGAGTGGAACCAGTCATTTCTGAAGGAGAGCTACTGCACAGCAGGGAGAACCGTGTGACCATCCATCACAGGACCGGCTCTGTTCTGGTCTTCCTTGCGGTTGATTAATATTAATTCCGGTACTAATTCCTGCAAATGGAGAAATAAATCACTTTCTAAGTCGGGCAGAGAAGTACATGAAACATTGGGTCTTTAAAAATAGGGTCTTTGCCTTTCTAAGGGCCATCCTTGCCGTGAGCTCTCTGTCTGATTCTTAGATTTAAATATATGAATGATTGATTATCCTGCTCCCCGGTCCACAGCTCTAAAACAGGGTGTTGTTTAGGGAGAGGGTTTTACATGGTGGCCCACTTTAACCATCTGACAACATATGTTCCAGCCCACAGGGCCTGGCCCTGACCTGGGGGTGAAGGACAGAGAAGAACATGGGTGCTTGCTGCACCCAGAAGAGGGAGAGGAAACCCCATGGAATAACCCGGTAATGTACCCGACGGTGAGCCCAGGGTCCCCTCCCTCCTCCTCCCAGGAGGCCAGGGGTCCTGGGCTCAGAGAGAAGAAATGCTGGCCCTCCGGAGTGGATAGAAATGCAAAGGCTCACTTGTTGAGGAACTCAATTCAACAGACCTCTAGGAGTTCCTACTAAGCGTCTGCCAGGCACTCTGGTGGCTGCTGCGAATGCAAATTGGGTAAGACCTAGTCTCCGCCCTCCATGACCACACATCACCTTTACTCCAAACTTCCCAGCGAAGGCGTGATGGGTGCGGGAGTTGTCGAGACAACAGCTCCTCTTTTGGAAATGATTCGAATGATATAGCTGAAAACATGTTTTTAAGCCGGGGTTAGGGTTAGGGTTAGGGTTAGACTCTGAATTGGACTTGCTTAAATGCCTGGAAACAGAAATTGTGTCCAAAGTGACCACAGCAATTTGGAAAACTAGTTTCTGTTCAAAGGAGATAAATGTAAGTGACTATCTCCAGGCCAAAATCAAGCAACAGAGATACAAGGTTTGGACTGAATGTTCTCCCAGTGTAACAGCTAAAGCGGGGCGAACCCCCTCCCCCAAGGCCAGCAGGGAAGCGTTATGTGGAGGTTTATGTACAGGTCTCCGTCCCTCCCAACACAGACTCAAGATGACATGTGAATTTCCTTGGTCACTTCCCTCTCATTTCCCCACTGACAGGAAAGCTTAAAGGCCGGGCTGCCCTCTCCAAGCCCAACCAGAAGCAGGGTCCTGATGCTTCCCAGCGGCTGGAATGGATCTAAGCTACGGAAGTTAGTGTGAGCTATCCTCTTCAAAGCCAAGTCCCCGAATGCCATTAATGACCCATTATCTTCAGACTCCCGGGTGCGAAACTCACCAGCACCCATGACTCCCTTCAGCTTCTCATCCAAACAGGAGCTGCGTTATTTAGAGCCCTCCGGGCCTGGAGGTCTTCCACCTCGGGGCGCCCACCCTGCCTGCCACCCGTCCCTGGACCAAGCTCCAGGGCGCATCCCCACCCTCC